TTTTTTTTTTTTTTTTTTTTTTTTTTTTGGTACCGGGGATCCAACTCAGGTCCTTGCACTTGCAAGGCGGGTGGTGGAACCATGGAGCTAAATCCCCAGCCCAAACCTTGATCATATCTTGAAAGCCATTGAAGATGCTTTACGGACGAAGGACAGGAAACATCCTGACCCCTGGATTAAGAGAAGAATGTCTATTTATATATCATAGTGTGTGAGCTGCTAAATAAGAGGGGTTGACAATGCCAGATCTAGTGCCAATTCCCTGGGTTTGAACTCATTTCTTAACAACAAATGTAAGAAAGTGCTATTCAATTCCTTTGTCTAAATTTCCACACCTCTCAGATGAGAATGATAAGCAATACTATTTATCTCATTAGGTTTTTTGAGATGATGAAATGAAATAACACATGTAGAGCACTCCTTGCACACAATAAGTGTTCAATGAATAGCAGATTTCTTTTAAACTACAGGACATCTTTTCCAGCCATTAATATTACTTATCATTTCTTTCATACGACAATGAGGTGTAACCATAACATGATCTTTGAGGAAGAGACAACACCTTGGAGAGGGGTATTTTACATGTGGGGTAGAGGAATTGGAGACAGAATGGGCAATGGTGAGTGAGAGCTTGAAGATTTTTTTTTCATAGTTTTGGTCCTTAGAATTGAAGATTTTATAAGTTATTGGCAGGATTCCACCATTAATTCAGGCATATTTCCCATCACTGTGGCCCAGACAGCTGCAACAGTACCCAGGATCAAGGAGCTGAAACACTTTAGAACTAATTCTTCATAATAGGAATAGTATGTAGATATAACACTTTATGGCTTCACTCCCCTCCTGTACCCACAATAGCAGGCATTATCCACCTAATCAAGCATCTCAGGACAGGAGTGGTAATTGTACGATGGTGTAATTTAGAAGTCTTGCTCATTAAAGGCTGTTGTTTTTGGCTGTCCTCTTGGACTCACACTATAAGTAGACATTCAATAAGTCATTCCTGAACAACTACCATGTAAGATGTAACAACTACCATGTAACTCAATGTAAGATGGCATAACTCTTTCCCCATCAATATGAATTTGTTAGACTTTCATTGATTTCAGCGGGGTTCCAGGCTCCTGTCCGCCCCTCTACCACCCCCACCCCAGGCCCCTTTTGGAGTGAGCACTCCTTTATAAAGCAGGTGCTTTAGGGCCATCTAGTCAAAAGGGAGACTGGAGCCTTTTGGCACAAGGAAAGTTAACAAACAACTAT